CTTACCATGATGCGAGATGTGCGTGGTTGTAGGCAGTTGGGAAAGGCCGACAGGCGAATGAGAGACGTTTCACAGCATTGGTGGTACAGACCCTGAGCAGCAGGCAACCATGGAAGGCGCGACGATGGTGTGGACAAAGAAGGTGGGATGCGACTGGGCTGTGGCCTATGACACGTCGTGAGGCCTCGGTGTGACGCGACGCGACAGTGAATGATGGTGCGCAGGGATGCCCCGTCTTGGCAGCTGCGGTCCTCCGCGATGAGCTACCGTGCCTGCCCTCCATACTCAGCAAGGACACCGAAACCCTGACAAACATCCGCCCGGGCTGTGAAGTACATACCAAGCCCCTCCGCCAGCAACCTGCCCCCGCCATAGCATCCTCTTCACCGCCATCGTCCCCCCGCGTTTGCGGCGCCAATTGAAGCCATGGTCACATCGCCAGCTGTTCCCGAGTACGCGCAACCTACTAGCTTTCAATCTACACATGTTTTACATATGCGCCCACCTGCATCCTTGCTGCTATTTTCGAGTCACAACACATCATCATGGCGCATTTCTGCTGTAATCTCTTCTAACACGGCTCTAGAATCTACGAGGACGAGCTACACTCCGCAATCGAAGCGCGCTCAGAATCTCTGCAGACCCTACGAGAGCTGGGCCCGCCAGATCTGGTCCACCTGATAAAGCAGCCCATCAAGAATGCGACAAAACAGGTCCGTAGTACCTTCGACCGCACAGTGGCCGCGAACCCAATTTGACATGTGATTAGATTGGCGTCTACCACCACGTCTCCGGCGTAGACGCTTCCTCGTCTGCCAGCTTGGCAGCCTACATCAACACCCTCACATACTCTGCGCACGATAAGCAAAACAAGGTCGTCTCTGGGCTGTATTGGTAGGGGAATGTCTCCTTGCGGCGCTGGCAATTGCTGACCGAGCAGCTGCTACAATGCCTTCTCACGGCTGGACATGCGCGTGCAGGTCTACATCCCTGGCACTGTGGAGAGCTACTGCATCGATGAGCGCGGCGACAAACGAGTAGCCACCGACGAACTCTGGCTAGAGACCTACCTGTGTAGCGTACTGCGCGCATATTCTTATGCCGACGATGGCTCCGGCGACACGATCAAGAAGATCGTTGGTGTGCGGAGATTCAATCCCATCACAAGTACCGAGAGCGAGCACAAGTTTCTGGATGCAGCAGAGCGCCTGTTCTTCAACGGTATGACATTCGCTTGCATGATGATATCTCCGCTAACGCAATTCAGGCTGGCAATTAGGATCTGATCCCGAGATTCAAGTCCCCAATCTCGTCTCGAACCACTTGACTACGGGTCTTCTCGACTACATTCATACCACCGGTAGATATACTTCAGGCATCAATCTGTTCGAGAAATTGCGGACTCGCGATCCGGAGATCTCTTCCCTACTGGCGCGGGTATACATCGAGGCAGATGAGGAGGTGCAGGCAGTCCAACTGCTACACGAGGCCATCCAAGAATTGCCCATGGATTACTCTCTGCTCGACTGCCAAGCCGAGTTCTGCAACAAGAAGGGCCGCGGCGACCTGGCGCTTGAGATTGCTAAGAGGAGCGTTGTGTCTGCACCTAGTGAGTTTGGCACATGGGCGCGCTTAGCAGAGATATACGTCAGCCTCGAGCAGTGGGACATGGCATTGTTGACTCTCAACTCATGTCCCATGTTCACCTACCAGGATAAGGACGCACCACGGATGCCCGAGCCACAGCGAGTCTTTCTGCCTGTCATGCCAGAAGCCATGTGCGACGAGATTGAAGATTCCAACATCGACGATATGGAGCTTGTGCACCCAACTCTGAGGAAGCTGCACGCTGCGGGTTTCAAGGGTACCTTCCTCAAAGCCTACATTCTGCTGACCGAGATTACAAAGAAGATTGGCTGGGATCAATTACTCAAGATACGAAGCCAAGTCTTCGTCATGGAGGAGGAATACCGCCATGAAAAGACCGCACAGCAACCGCATTCTCGCAGCGCCAGCACAACAGCGCTCCGTTCTCCTTCTCCAAACACACACGCCCAGCAAACAAATGGTGACCATGGCGAAGTCGAGGAACGTTCCTCCGCTGAGATATCCAACACGAACGGCGAATCATCGTCTGCGGCCGCCGAAGCAGTCAACGATCTCGAGAAGCCCATGCACACTGTCGCCTCTGAAGTTGTGAAAGCCGGCAGCGAAGACCCTCACGCACACGACGCCGCGAACAACGGCAACCCCTCGCAACCAAACTACACACACTTCCAGAACAAGCGCCTCTGCGAACGCTGGCTCGACAACCTCTTCATGGTCCTGTACGAGGATCTGCGCGTATACACGATATGGCGAACTGAGATGGCGCAGTACAGGCAGCAACAACTTCTGTACAAGAAGAGCAGTGAGGAGTGGGAGATCCTGGGTGAACTCGCCGAGAGACTGCATCATACAGAGGAGGCAGTGGAAGCATACGAGAACTGCCTGCAAATTAAGTTCTCACCGAAAGCCATGAGAGGCGTCCTGAAGCTGGGCGAGGAGAGGAAACAAGTCAGGGATGTCACAGCCGCGCTGATCAGACTGGTAACTTGGCAGTACCGATGGTACTCTGAGGTAAGTCTACCTCCACCCCTTCAACAGTCTGACGAAACTAACAAACACCCAGTTCTCACCGTCCCTCCTCTACACAATCCGCAAACTCATCGAAGAAGAAGGCGCCGTCAAGATCCGCAGCATCATACAGGGTACCTCGCTACCCCAGCACGTCCTCGATCTCACACACCAGTATGCCGCGCTGTGTGCGGCGTTTAGGAGCAGCGGTAGCGATGGTTAGAAGCCTTCGCCTCTCAAAATCTATGGCTATACCAACAACAGTCTTGACCTCCAGGGACGTACCTGGAAGGACGAGAAGGCGAAGTGGTTGGCTGCAGGATAGCTTTGTGTTAGTGTGCGTGTGTGTGTATGTGTTAATGCATGGGAGCGTTGGTGTTGGAGATGGTGAATGTTAGACCGTTAATTGAGTCCATTGCCCTCTTCATAGTATGGCTTGACAGCTGTGTACTTGCTCTGCGTGTATCACTTCAGTGTCTAGATACTTCGTCGGGGGAAGAGTCGATTGGCAATCATTTATCCTGCTTCACTGAGAATCTCATGACCGCCCACACTCGACATGCCGTTGTCCATGTTCTTGCAACCAATGTATTCATTTTGTATCGTCACAAGCCGGGGGATCGTACCAGGCAGCCGTTGCGCGCCATGTCACGTAACCTCGTTGTCCTCAAGGAGATAGATAGTAGACAGTAGAAGACCCCATGTAAAAGCCCAGGATGAACACCGCTCCATGCTCCCCCATACACCGCTCCATCTTTCTCCTCTCCAAGCCCAAAGTGGATACCGCTTAACGGTAAGACTTCTGGTACCTGGCGCGCGCACCTGGACCGCCGAACTTCTTGGGCTCGCACCGCCTGTTGTCGGCAACGAGCAGTGTGCGGTCGTACTGGATCAGGGCCTGCTTGAGCTGGTTCTTCGAGTGCTCGTCGACGTACTTTTGGTAGTAGGCGATGATGGATTTGGCGATGGCTTGGCGGATGGCGTAGACTTGCGAGGTGTGTCCACCACCGGAGACGCGGACGCGGATGTCGACATCAGCTGCCCATGATGTTAGTATTTTGCCCGTGATCCCTTCGCAGATTCCTCCCTGGGGTTTCGTGTGTGCGTACCGAACTTGTCAACACCGAGGATGAGGATGGGCTCGTAGACCTTGAATCGCAAGATCTCGGGCTGGACGAGGGAAAGAGGCTTTCCGTTAACCTTGACGAGACCCTTTCCGGCCTAGAATTTCATCGTAAGTATGCTGTTCGGTTGCGCGTTCGATCGTGGCATTGCGTGTGTACCTTGCAGTGGGCGACAGCTGTGGGCGGTATTGTTAGCCTTGTTCTTCTTCTTTCTCTGGGATGCCGGGCGGCGGGCTTTGCGTACCAGTCGCGGTCTTCTTCTTGCCGAAGCATTGCACGCTCTGGGAGGCCATGTTGGGCGACTGTGGAATGTGCGTGCGGTTAGTACGGGTGGGCGTGGTCGGTTTGGCTGTCGTCGATGGGTGGAAGTTACCCGACGATGTTGCATGTCGAAATTCAGTGGGCGCACGGACCCGCTATCCCTGTAAGCGATTAGCGTCGCGGCGGGCTAGCGCCGTCGACTCCAGAAGCCACGCATCTTCAACCTCGCCACGAGCATTTTCAGATCCTGATCCAGAGCATCTTCGTGGTGGTGACTTTACCTTCGACGCTACTGCCCTTTTTCCAACGTCATCAGTCTGGCACTCGGTTAAGCCTGCACAACCATTTTGGCAAGGCCCTGCAACGTTGTAGAAGAATAGGTTGTCGCACCTTGATTACAATTCGACAGCTGCGAAAGTAATTGTTGCAAAGCTGTGGTATCGCACCTTTGTCAGAAAGGTCTATTCCACAGATTCAAGCATGTCAAATAGTCTTTTGCGATCCCAAAGAACAGTTCCTGAGAAGTCGTCTCTTCAGCTGTATGCCTTCGGAAGCAATGGAGAAGGCCAACTAGGAACACCAGCAGCGGAGATAGTTAACACTCCAACGCGAGTCCTTCATTTTAAAACCGACATCTGCCTTCTTCCTCTTGATGAGCTAAAACACATCAGAAGTGGCGACAATCACACGCTGTTTCTCACCAAACGTGGCGTGATCTACGGGATTGGTGACAATCGCAAAGGTCAGCTGAGAGATCAGAATTCTCAACTTCGAATCGAATCATTCCATATATTGGCCCTTAATAAAAGCTTCGCCGCCGCTACATGCGAGTCCTCAGCTTACGTCGAGCTCACCTCCAACCTTCCATACAGCGAGGTCAAGATACACGGTTCCAACAGCTGGGGTGAGCTTGGCTCACGCGACGACGGTTTGAGCGTGCTTGAACTTCCAGGCCGCATTGTAGATTTCACCGCGGGAGTCTGGCACTATGTTGCCATAATGCAAGATGGCTCAGTATATGGTTGGGGGAAAGCGCGGCTCGGCCAACTCGGGAACCCGCTGACTGACAACGTCGCAAAACCTTCCAAAATCGAGGGTATACCGTTCAAGCCTAGAAAGGCCGTATGTGGGAAAGACTTCACATACATGGTCAGCGATCCAGCCGAGGGTAAACACCATCTCCTCGGCAAAGACAAGTTCAACATCATCTCGAATATGCCCGAACACGTTAAGAACTGGAAAGACATCGGCGCGACTTGGCACGCCATCTTCGTACTCTTCAACGACGGAACGCTTACGGCGTGGGGTAAGGAGAATATGTGGAAGCTACTACCGCCCAATCTGCCGCTTCTGGATAAGATCGCTGTTGGGTCGGACCACATCCTCGCTGTGACGAAAGAAGGCAAATTGATATCATGGGGTTGGGGTAAACATGGGAACTGTGGCGATCTGTCGAACGTTGGGGTTGATATGAAGAACGATATGGTCAGCGGGTTTTGGAACGAAATCAGCATACCAGGAGAGATCCAGACGATTGGGGCTGGGTATTGTACTAGCTTTGTGGTTACTAAACAAGGTTGAAGATCCGCTAATCTCAAGAGTATCACTATAATGTACGAGTATCAAAGTTGCGGTCATTCCTCCATGTGCAACAGCTTCATCACCCATTACATTCAATGATTCAGAACCCCTCCCTAACCAAACTCCACTCCGCAACCGTCCCCCCAGCTGTAGCATTCTCCGCGAAAAGGTTCCCCCGAATACCTAAATGTGCATACCGTCCGCTCCAAACACTCTGCTCAAGAGTGACATTCGTCTGATTGCCGATGTACGTCTTGATCTCATACGCCGTAACGGGGTCCCAAGGTGCGCTTATCTCGACCTCTCCTGCTGTTACCTTCCTCACATCTTCATCGAGTCCTGAGCCGGGTTTGCTTTCGAATGGGGGTAGAGTGGTATTGGAGAAATAGACTTCGAAGTGTGAAGGTGGCTGGTTACCCCAGTCCATTACGACCTTGTTGATAGGGTAGAACGTTGAATCGCCGAGATCTACGGTCAGGTAGCTGGTGATGTTCGCAAGTTCGGGTTGCCATTTCGTACTTGCGGCACCGTCGATAGCCGCAATAGGAAACTGGCCAGGTTTGTTACCCTGGGATGGTGGGAGCAGAGCTTTGCATTGGAGGATGTTACCGCCGACTGTGAGTATTTCGCCCATTGGTCGGTTGCGCACTACAAGTGGCTCATCGCCAAGTCCGTACGTTGTGTTATCGCGGTTGCTTCGGGTACCAATCGTGACTGGGATGGGTTTGTCAAAGTACGTCGCATTCGCCGATGGTAGAGTATAATTCTCTCGTGGCAGACGTGCCAACGTCGTATGCGTTGAGTTGGAAGTAGCGTTGATACCATGTCCCATCCAGTAGAAGGTACGGTAGTTCAGATATGGGATCTGCGGCGGCAGCGTGGGATCGATGTCCAGCCTATCATAGTAGAGACCAAGACCAAGATATCCGAAAATGCCCACGCGGTTAGTTCCTCCCATGCCGGTCAGAAAAGGGAAAGCAGGGTGTGTTCCTCCGTTTTCGTCGACGTTGTCAATGAGTTGTTCGGAGTATTGGTACCATGGTGCGCGCACGTATGGCGAGGATGAGTAAACGTCGTAGGTAAAGCTCGAGCAGCCAGATGGCGAGACTTCGTTTGCGACGACGGCGAACGAAGAGTATGTCATCGCAGGGCCGTCGAGGGACTGCTTTGCCGCGTAGTAGTCCAGATTGGCTAAGCTGTATGAGTTGGGGTAATGCAGTAGGTCATCGACCAGAACAACGTCTGGATAGAAATTATGATTAGTGACTCAACTGTCGAAGAGGTGGAGATTACTTACCAGCTTGCTTAACCGCTACTGATCCATTCATTCCAGTATACTCAACAATGATGCCAGCATTCTCGTTGATTGGTATTTGCATATTGGATGCCTTGTCTGCCCAGCTAGCATTAGGGCTGCGTCCGAACCAGCTGTTAAACTCGTTCGTCTCAAGGAAATGGCGTTGCATGAGTGCAGTGGTAAAAGCAATGTTGTTGACCTGGTTGGCGTATTCGTCCGGATCCGTAGCATTCCAGAGCTCATATGCGCCGGATGTCTCATTGAAGTCTAGCAACTGGCCAAAGAAATGTGCAATCGCATTCGATATGGGTAAGAGAGTGTCGTTGAAGTATTCTCCATCTCCAGTGATGATCAAGTGATTGTTGAGCGCAAGGCTGATGTCGCCGTTGAGGTGGTACTCGTAATCGAAGCATGCGCCGGTTCCTGTGCAGTTGCCAAAACGCCCGCTTGTCCAAGGATATACAGCTCCTCCAGGCGTAAATCTACCTGTCTGGTTCTTGCTCGATTGATACGCAGTTTCGACGTTACGTTGCGCTTGATCGAAATGCTCTACGCGATACTTGATGACATTCTGAGCGTGTTGCGGATGCGATACTTGGACTCCTGGGGCCATCCATACATCTGCATCCCAGAATATCATACCACCATAGCAGTCTGAGCCCAACCCACAGACGGGAATACTGTAGATGTCCAGCTTTGTATTGTTGTTGGCTGCAGCCACAGCATTGGGTCCGACCATATTCGATAGCAAGTAGAATGGGTTGGTTCGTGCCATGATATGCAATGTTCGTACGTCTGGATCTTCCGGGAGAGATCCGTTCGGTAGGTGGTAATCATCAACCGAGTCCGGTGTTAGTATAGACTCCCACTCTTCAATATGAGATTGCAACAGCTTGTAGTAACCCTCTTCGGCACCGGATTGTGAGGCGTCGCGTGCTACATTCTGCGGATCCGGGAAAGCATCAGTCGATGCAACTCCTATGAACTTGGTGATTTCGGTGGGACGGAAGGCGACAAGTTCGACCGGGAGAGACTGCGCAATGGTTGAGCCATTGCCGCCACTGAAGATGCCGCCGGCTACTTCACTACGAGCAGTAAGATTGACCCAATCGCTGCCACTCAGAGTCGAATATACATAAGCCTTTACGTCGGTGATGTTTCTCGGGCTGACAGCGGACCAGATCGTAGGCGTGTCTTCTTCAAACTTCTTCTCAACGAAGTCTGAGCGAACAGCACAGTCACCGTCAAGAACGTCGTACACCGTCACGTTGAGGTCGCGTGTCGCAGTCAGTCTTAGCCTGACTGCTGCTTTATTGACATAAAGCTTGTGCACAAACATCTGATAGTCCACGTCAACTGTCCCATCTCCGGAACCACCAAGCCGCCAATTGTATCGCCAGCTTGCAATTCCAGCTTTTACATCTAGACTCGATACGAAATCCGATATGTGATCGGGGTTGACTGACGCATTTAGATATTCACCGTTGGCCTCCACAACGATACCACTGGCATGTGGAATGCCAGCAGTAAAGCTCTCCCAACCATACTGATACAACCAAGGGTAGTTCGTTCCGTTTGTTCGTGGCTGGCTATTCCAGAAGCCTGCGATGGTCGAGAAAGCTTGTCGTCTGCTGAACAGCGGCCACCCACTTATAACGTCGCCGTCCACTGGCTCATCCACTTCGAAAAAAGGTCCTGCCGATGCTACATTGATGCCAAAATAGCCATTTGCAAGCGTGAGGCGGGACTGGTAGTGGCCTTGATCGAGGGCATGTGTCGCTATAACCCAGTTCTGGTCATCCCATGTTACGTCCTTGAATTGTTCATGTTCGCTGCTGGTGGAGCAAAGGACTAAGTGGGTTGAAGCTAAAAGCGCAACGGTAGCTCGACGGAGGTTTGTCGATAGCATGTCCTGCTATCGAGAGAAGAGTATGAACGTAATAACGGAGCAGCATCCGACGTGTTTAAGGCACGCCGGCCTTAAAGGTGTCCTAAAACAAGGTACAAAGCCATGCCGATCAAGCATTATTGGCACTAGAGTCTTCCACGGGACGCGACCCGTTCGTCTCTCTTACCTTTTTCTACACCGCTAGGCACAAGCTAGCTGCTGCGATCGCTCGTCATACGCTCCTTTTGCGGGCGCTAGCTGAGTCGCCCAGCATGCTTGTCGGACAGCCTCATAGCTTCGCTCAATGTTCATCAAGCAGCGAGAGAATCTGAGAAGGATGTGGTTGAACAAAGGTTTGATGCGTCGTTGTGGTGCTTGGCAAACGATAAGGACGCGTCGATTTCGAGCACCATAGGCGATTAGAGCCGAAGCTGTCGGGATCGTGCGCATGTGACGTCACGGCTGACATCCCAACGAAGCCCTGGAGACTAAACTTGTCGCCTTGTCGTTCATCGGATGCCAAATAGTGCCGATCGCATCAAATCAGCAATGATCCCAGGAGCTGTTCTATCGCGAGACTTTGGAGTTGGCCGTCAGCTTGCGGTTAGGCCGCCCACTCTGTGAGTGGCTGAGTCGCGCCATCACGAAGCGTAAGCATAGGGCATTCTCAGCTGAATGACAGCTGTCCACACTCCACCCACCATGGCCCGGCGCATCGCGTCAAAGCTCAGAAGACGCGCCAGGAAGACTAAGAAAGAAATCTACCTCCCTCTTGATGCTGCGACGCGTGCAATCCGTGTGCTACACCTTCACCCTGGCGCCGGGGAAGATGACATTCGCGCAGAGCTCCAGGCCTCTTCCATTGACGATGTCCGAGGGCGCTATGTCGCAATTTCGTACACGTGGGGTTCCGAAGGCGTCGCTCGCCAGGTTCTGATAACGTGCAACGGGAAACTTGTTTCTGTTTCTGAGAATCTTTCCACGGCTCTGCGCAAACTTCGACAACCTGACCATGAGGTCCTGCTTTGGGCGGACGCGCTGTGTATCAACCAAGCAGATGCTTCGGAGAGAACTAAACAAGTTGGCTTGATGGGTGATATATACAGCAACAGTCGCGAGACGATCATATGGCTTGGCGAACCAACGCTCGGTGAGGATATTGGCTCCCGCTTTTTGAAGGGCAATGCTTCCGAAATAGCGTGGACAGGTGGTTCCAGAGACAGCGACCTGCGGGATGAGTTTATGCTCGATTTTGAGAACACGTGTAAAGTAGCACCGTTGGTCGCGTTTGCAGACACACCCGCGGCGAACACAGGGCCGGATATTTTTGGTGCGTTTTGTTTAATCCAGGACTTCGCCGAAGACATTTCGTACCCTCTGCTGAAGTTGCTGGATCGCAACAAAGCCACTATATCGGAACGCATCGAATATCCTAGGAGACATGGCCTGATTGCGACAAACAGTCGTTGGCATGGGTCACAGTCTCTTAGGGTGTGGGACGGCCTCGCAAGATTAATGAATAGGGCTTGGGTGATTATCCACGTTCTCTTCATCTGGTCTGAACTGACAATAGAACTGGCAGTGGCAGCGCATTTGGGTCATCCAAGAGACCGTACTCTCGAGAAACGCCACGGTACATTACGGCATGCTTTCAGCCCCCTGGTCAATGTTCGCTAGCGCCGCCGTTAATTATGTCCAGCAGCGTCACGCGTTGTGCCTAGATCTGGCTGGGACGCTATATGGGCAAGACACACTGGATCGGTTCAGCAACTTCGTGCTTCGAATCGAGGAGACAAGACTTTGTCACGAGAGTAG